ATTGCGCACTCCCCTGAAGCTCAGTTCCTCGTTCATAAATCAGGACAGGGACACCAGCTTCCGGGGTGCATGAGGATCAAATGTCAACTCAGCGTGACATTTCAAATACAGCTTGACCCTCAGCCTTTGGGAGCTGACTGGAAGGAGCCCCTTTGCTCTCCCTGGAGAACTGTGGGGGCTGCACAAAAGACTGAGATGTCCTTGTCACTGCCTTCCTGGAAGGATCCCTTCAGCTGGAACGGTTGGGCTGGGACAGCGGTGAAAGCCAAGCTTCCAGTACCTGCCTCCACCACACCCCACTGCAGCCACTCCACAGATCAGGCCATGCTGGAAGAGCCAACCACCCCTGGAAGCCCAGGACCACAGCTGTCCAGACTGCTCCTCATGGCCCAGGACTGTGGCTGCCTCTACCCACACCAGGAGGCCCAGGATCATCATGTTCACCAACCACATCCCGAAGCCCAGGACTTGCTGCTAGCTTTGCATCAGTTTCTCACCTAACCCCACAACTGTCCTGGGTACACTACCATGGTCACTGCAGACAAGGAAACAGGCTCAGCACATTTGCTGGGCAGGGCAAATGACCTTTGCTTCAGAACACTGGGACTGTGCAGAGCCCCAGGCTGCTGCCCTGGAGGTTCCTCTCAGGCCTACCAGGCCATCGGCTCCTTTCCTGCCTGGAAGGATAAGTTGGCCCTGGGAAGTGGGTGATGGCCGCTGGTCCTGCGTGCCCAGGGCCTTCCTAAGGTGGCCTCATGAAGAAACCAGTGCCTTCCTCCCATTAACCCCTATCCCTCATAAAGATCCCAGACATAAGGCCTCCCTGAAGGACAGGAGCCCGACTTCTGCAGGCCAGAACACCACGCCCACTCTTCAGGAAGCAACCCACGTGGGCTAGCGTGGGCAGGATCTCTACTGTCCTGTGGGCCTAAACTGCCGTGTGTCTGGGCCTGCAAATGGAACTGTGAGCATGCCTAGGCCACCCACACATCAGGGTATTTTCCTACTGTTCTTTGTCGCTTAAGCTTCTTAAACTGAAGGGGCCCAAAGGAATCCTGTCTTTCACTCCTGCACGGCTTATGGGGTTCTGCATCCTTCAGCATCCACCCCCAGCACCCGTATCTCCATTCTTTATAACTAATGAGACTTGTCACCAAGTGCCTTCTAAGAAACCAAATCTCTCTCCACCACAACTGTCTTGACTCTGATCTGGGAGTTCCCTCGCTGAAACCAGCCTCAAGGGCTTGTCTCTGTCTGAGCTCTCCAGGGAGCAGAGGGGATCTCTTTAAACACAAAGTTGCTCTCTCCCTTTACTCATTCTTACAGCTACAGAGCCTAGGCCTGGACACATGGCTGTCCCCTCCCTGAGGGAGCATGGTGTTCCCTTTACATGCCCTGACCTATCTAACTCCTGGGGCCTGCAGGGCTCTTACAACACAGCCACAAGCATTCCTGTACTCCTTGCCCAGAAGGTGCTTCAGGGAGGGCTGGGCCTGGTGTCCTGCTTCCAATGATGGAACATAGAGGGAACAACAGTGTGTGGTCTGAGGTGGCTCAGAAATGGTAGTGTCCCTTCCTTTTGGATTATTTGCCTTGGGAGGGACATGGTACTACGTGAGGTCACTCAGCCTCACAGGAGTCCAGCCTCCATGGGAGTCTTTGTGTGACTTGGAATGGATCCTCCAGCTGCAGCCAAGCCTCCAGATGAGTTCAGTCCTGGCCTGACATCCTAGAGACCCTGAGTCAGAGCCACCCAGGAGCTATTCCCAAATTCCTGATCAACAGAGGCTGAGATGATGCTGGTTGTTTTAAGCCACTAAGTTTTGGGGTAACTTGCTATGTAGTTATAATACAGGATGTCTGCAAGCCTGCCTTGCTACAATGACAGACCCAAAGTTACTCCAACAGCAAGTCTCAGCCACAGTACCGAGATGAGCTACTCAGCCAGATCAACTCTGGGCTCAGTGGCATAAACAGGGATGCAGGTTCTTCCTATCTTCCTGTTCTGAGTTCTCAGCCTCTGGCTTCTCCCCATGTGGTCACAAGTCAGCTGCAGCAGTTGCTAGCACTCCATCTGCACATGCTGGCCTCTGGAGGCTGGAAGAAGATACCCACCCTCAGTCTTCTGCAGACTGGGGAGCCTTCCCTAAAAGCCCTCTCTGGCAGCTTATGCTTCACTGCCCAGAGCTGGGGCACATGATCCTTTCTGAACTACTAATCTTGGAGCCAGGATGAAGTCAGACTCTTTGGATGGAACACGGCATCCCACCAAACAAGGGCTGTGTTCCTGGTCTGGTGCATATCCCCTCAGCTGTCCTCCTCCCTAAGGGTGGGTTTGCCATTTGCTTCCCCCTCCTCATCTTCATCTAAATGCAATTTTCATGCAAGACACATTTCCTCTCTACATCCCCATGAGCAGCACAGAGAAGTGCCCACTTACTGCCACTGAGCAAATGAAGAGGTGGGAGTTCAGATGAGGAACCCCTGGGTGAAGTCAGGGAACACTCCCTGGAAAAACAAAGGGAGCCCTTCAGGCAGAACAAATGGGGTTCATATTTCACAGGAAGTGGTCAAATGTTTGTTTCAGACACACTCCTTTGCTAGGAGTGGAGATGCCATGGAAACTGGTACAGCCTGCGGGAGCCTCATTTTGCAACCCTTATCACTGTGCCATGATGGCGGTGCTCCTCCTTACACAAAGGCTGTAACACTTTTAGACTTTTGAGGCAGGCGGTGGAGCTAAACCTCTAGCCCATTTTTAGACTTTAAATAACTGCCTCGGCCCTGGAGCCCACCATTGTGAGAACTGGTGTCAAGAATCAGATGCTTCTGTATACCTTCTTATCCCGCCATCCAAGCATCCAAGCTGCTTCCCAACCACTTCTGCTACCTCTCTGCAGCGCTGGAGGTGAGCCCTGGAGGGCAATGGGAATACCCTTCAAATTGACTGAGGAAGCATTTCTGCATGCCGGGGCAGCAGATGGGTCCACAGGGGATGCAGGGTAATAGTGAGGGAAAGTCAACCAAAGAGAGGCCCAGCACCTTGTTTGGCTGAAGTACAAGCAGTGCTGGTCCCTTACCTTAATGGTTTAGCTCTAAAATGTCCCCCCAAAGTCTCATGTGTCTGGATCATGTATGCACTATATTCATCAATGAATCTATCCATTGATGAGTTCACAGCTGAATGTGCTGTTAAATGGGGTCTGATTGGAGGTGGGTCACTGGGGTGTGACCTGGGTGTGTTTTGTCCCTGGCTCCTCCCTTTGCTGCTTCCTGGCTGCCATGATGTGACCACCTTTCCTCTGCCAGGTCCTTCCACTATGCCATTTCTGCCTCAGAGCCAGCTAAACATGGACTGAATCCCCCCAAATTGTGAGCCAAATAGACTTTACTTTAGATTGTATCAGGTATTTTTTCCTGTGATGGAAAAGTGACTAATACACTTAGCCATCCTGCAGGCCTGAGCTGCTGCCTACCCAATACATGCCAAACAGCTGTCTCCCTGAGGATTTAGCTCTGGGCATAGGCCCAGTTGTGGACATGGACATGGCCACAGGAAGCTGCTTGCTCTCCTGAGCTTACCGATACAGCCTCTGATGAGTCTGGATCCTAGGCTAGCACCACCTCTGCTAACCAACCCTCTATGTTCCCTATTGTGAACAACTGTCTAGCACCCAGGACAGGGAACAAATCTGTCTCATTCATCAGGACCTTCAGTCAACGTAAGGTCCAGGCCCTTGTAGATTCCTCTGGTATGGTGTAGCTGCCAGCCTGCCAAAGGATCAGGATTATTTTCTGGAGAGCTCAGCACAAAACATCCCAGAAAGAGTTGTTGCAGAGTGTGCAGTTCACTTCCTTTCTCATCAAGATGTGTAACCTTCGGCCAGAACTGGGGGACTGAGGCCGAGTAGGGTCAAAATAACACAGCATCGTGCCCTTCATGCCACCGGGACCAACTGTTACTAATGTAGGCCCTGGCCAGCACTGCACTGGGAGAGGATGCAGCTGTCACAGAATGTGGGACTCCCAAGCAGGCAGAAGGTTAAGGGTAGGAGCTCCTGGCTAGGTTCAGTTTCTCTTCCAGGACAGACTTTCCTACCTAAACGCAGAAAAACAGCTTCACTCTGAGCACTCTTCAGGAGCCAAGGCGGAGTAAAAATGGCTGAGGAGAAAAATCTGAACAGCCTTAACGGATGGGTCACAGCTGTCCCTAGAAGGGTGGGTCCTTTTCCTTCCCTCTCAATGAAGTAGGCTTGGAAATGCAAGCAGAGAAAAAGCCTCAGGCTGGCCAGTCTCATTCATAAGGTGTAAGGATTGGTTCCCGCAGCAAGGGTGAACCCTCGAGCAGGCCCTGTTGTCATGGTCGTCACCTCTCCGTGGCCATAAGAGTCCTGGAGCTGTAACTCCAAGTCCAGGACCAGACGCACGTTCCGGCTTAACCTTGCCCTCGCTTAGGATCCAGAGCGGCCGAACCAAAATTGCCTGGGGAGAAACACGTACGCAGGTAGGGCCTAACCCAGCTTCGCCGCTCCTTCAGATGCCTCTTGCTAACGCCGGCTCACTCCCGAAAGTTCCATCACACAACAGCCCCGGGGACAGGTCCCACCTCCCTAATGCCGGGAAAGAGACGCATTCTGGGAGGAGAGGTGTATGCTGGGATGGGAATGGCGCTGCATACTGGGATATGTAGCCCACGATGCGACCGCAGTCCAGGTACCTTTTTAGGTCTGCAGTTACAAAAGCTCAACTTCAAGCGGCTCGATTTGAACTCCCGAGGACAAAATGTCCGCCAGTTCCCCAGGCCTAAGCCTCGGCCAGGACTGTAACGGGTGCTGCCGGCCCCACAAGGAGAAATACGGTACAGCAAGAAGGTGTGGTACGGTGTGCTAGGGGTTGGGGCCGAAGCCGGGACCGGGACCGGGACCCTGCAGCCTCGCGAGAGCTGAACCCGGTAGTCCCGCCCTCCCGCAGGCCCGGAAGGCAGTCTCTCATGGTCGGCGGGTACGTGCTATTGGGCCGCCGTGTCACGTGATACGAGCGACGGGCCTGGTTGTCTGCACGGCAGAGCCCGAGGGCGTCTGGTTGGGTCTGCACCCGCGAGTCCCTTAAGCTAGTCGGCGGGGACAGCGGCTGCGGCCTCGCCCTCCCTCCTTCCCTCCGGCCTAAGACTGAGTCCACGGGCTGCAGATGGGAGGTCAGGGCCCCGAAGATGCGGGCGGGCCGGGTCCAGGAGCCGGCGCGGGAGCTCTTCCGGGACGCCGCCTTCCCCGCTTCGGAGTCCTCGCTCTTTTTCAATTTGTCCACTCCACTGGCCCAGTTTCGGGAGGACATCACATGGAGGAGGCCCCAGGTGGGGCCAGGCGCGGGCCTCGGCGGGGCCGGGTGGGCAGACGGGCACTTGGAACTCCGGGCCTGCAGCCAACCCCTCAGGTGGCTTCCTGGTGCTCGGGCACCCGCTCGAGTCTGGCTGCCAAACCTGAGGCTGCAGATGAGATGGTGTTCTGGTTCTGAAGGTGGTTCGTCTCTCAGACGTATGCAGTTGAAGAATTTGTCCCGAGTTATTTATAGTAAAACATTTTAAGACCAAAGTAGAAATGTTAATTAACAGGAAATTGTTCTCTTATGCAGTGGGAGGGAATACTTGAAAGACATTCCTGAATTGATCCTGCCACATCAGTTTGGCCATGCATAGGTCCAGCATATCAGGATTAACTCTTCTCATGGTCTTTCATTTTGCTTTACATTTGTCCCAATAGGGCTCAACGTTTTGGGTGTGCACAAGAGATGACACAACAGAAATTGGGATCGTAACAGTTAACCAGACCACTTTGAAAAGTGGAGGAGCAGCTGACTGTCCTTATACATGGCCAGGGAGCTGAGTAGGCCGACCTGCATGTTGCAAAATAGGCAGAAAAGTTGAGGTCGCCAACAATGAAGTGAATAATTTGTCTCACGTATGTTCAATTGAAGACTTGTTTGATCTTGAGTCTAAAGGCACTTTGAAAGAGGTGAAGTATCTTAACAAACCAGCCCCACTTAACTTCTTCTCTGTGAAGAGCGTCCCACACCTGGCTTCTAGTCTGTATGCCTCTTCTGGCCACAAGTGGTTCTGCTCCATTGTTCCTTGTATGTCATCCTCCCTGGCAGTGAGGTTCCCTGGTGCTCTTCTGGAAGGCTAGGCTGAGCCCGCAAAGCAAAGCTGCAGTGGAAATTGAGTAGTGGACCTTGTGCACCTGCATTTATCGTAAACACTTAAAAGACAAAGAGGGGCCTTGGCCTGTTCCTTTCCTGATGTTTTTAGAAGTGGTTTATTTGCTGTCCAGGGAACAACTTTACCCTGGGTATGTTGTGTGTAGTCCTGGATGGCAACCTGCCCTTAGACAGCCAGAGGTACTTCGTACTGGCAACTGAGGTGGCTTTGACAAACAGCTTGGTTTCCTTGGACAACACTGCAGGACTGGGAAGGAGGCAGAGGCTAGAGCATGAAAAACCCTGTGGACCATGCCATTGGAATTCGGGTTTTACTTTATTTAAAAATCAGTTTTAGGTGCAATAAGAGGCCAGTAGAGGATTTTTGGTAGAAGGCTGATTCTATTGGAATTATATTTTAAGAAGTTCACTTGTTGGGGACCCAAGCAGAGGATAACAGTGGTGGCGTTAAATATTTAGAGTTCCTCATTATTATTCAGTGAATGTTCATTAACATTGTAAATCTGTGCGTGCATCAGCTCATAATAACAAACAAGCAAGAGAACAGTGAGAAAGAAAGAAGCTCACTCTTGCTCTTGGGTGGGAAACAATTGTCAGGGCAACCATGCAGATGGCTATTGCACTGGTCCTGGAGAGGGATGATGGGCTCAGGTACAGAACTGTCAGATAGAGCTGTGGAGGAGATGGTCCGGGAATGCTCTGGCGGGAGATTGATAGGCATTAGTGCTGACTGAAACAGAGGTGAGGCTAAAGGTGAAATCAAGAGTGACTTCTTGATTTCTTACCTGAGTACCTATGTGTGCTGTGGTCGCAGGGCAGAGTCCCATGCTTTGGAGTTGAGTTTGCCCCGGTACCCCAAGTTCAGATGGAGCTGTTGGGTAGTCAGGAAGTGCTGAAGTGGAGGCCTGTCTCTGGGTGTTGGAGCCTAGGAGAGCATCTTAGGCTGGGAGGGTGGGTAGAGGGGCTGAGGCTGATCCTGGAGGAGCTCTTAGGTGTCATGGAGCGAGCAGAGGAAAGGACAGAAAGATCATGCACCTCATGGAAACGGATTTCATTGGAATTGTTTGTGTGTGTGTAATGTGGATGTGGAACCCATACATGCATGCTAGGCAAGTGCTTCACCACTAGGCCACATTCCCAGCCCTTTGTAGTGATTTATTTTGATGCTGTCTCACTGAGTTGCCTAGGCTGAAATGGAACATGTAGTTTTCCTGCCTTAGCCTTCCTGGGGTTATAGGTGTGCAGCACTGCACTTGGCACCTACTGGGTTTTATACCATGGAGGGGACATTGATAGAGGCAGTTTGGGGCATGATGGACTCAGAAGCTGGAGGGCCTTGTGAAGGGAGGGAGGGAATGGGAGGCAGCAGCTCCTCTGAGAAGGTTGTCAGTGAAGGGCAGCTCATAAGGGGACGTACTGCCCCTGGGTGACATCTGCAGGACATGGGAGAGTCACTGTACTGCCCTTGTGTTGGGGATCAATCCCAGGGGATGCCCAAGCCTGGGGAGTGATGTGAGCTTAGGGCGATGAGGAGGGTCTGTTCCAGGGGTTCCTGTGAAGCAGAAGGGGAGGTTGGCAGCCCAGAAGAGCATGAATGTTCTGAGGGGAGAGAGAGGACAAAGGGCAAGCTGTCTGGGGGCATGGGAGGCAGACTCCAGTGGTGTCCACAGGATCCATTTGGGATTTGCCGTCACGTGTTAATAATAAGAGACTGTTTTCTAACCCAATGAGCAGCTGTTTCAAGAGGAGTACATGTTAGGATTTGTGTAGAGTTGGGGTTCTGCCACTAAGGGAGGTGGACAGAGATGGGCACCCCTGCCTCTGAGCAGGACGGGGATCTGGAGCCTGGCGGTGCCGAAGGATACCAGCCTCCGGAATCCTGCTTCTTTGCCTGTTCTTTTGGGCCAGGAAGCTCAGGTGATCAGAAAGCTCCACCTAGCCCGTGACCTGGATCCTGTATCCTCAGCTTGCAGGTTACACATCAGGCATGGTCTAACTCTGGACCATTTTCTGAACAATTTTCTTTATTGTAGGAAATCTGTACCACGCCCCGGCTATTTCCAAATAACCCGTGGGAAGGACAGGTGAAGCAAGGGCTGCTGGGTGACTGCTGGTTCCTGTGCGCCTGTGCTGCCCTGCAGAAGAGTCAGCACCTCCTGAACCAGGTATGGAGCACCCCTGACCTGGGATCCTGGGGTGTGGGGTGATCTTCCTCCTACCTGGGAAGCATAGGAAGCACTTCCAAAAGCAAGCCCTGCTGCTGCAGGCTGGCAACTGCATGGGACACAGCCGTAGCTGCCTAGCATGTTAGTTGGAGGCCTGAGGACCCCAGGACAGCACTGACACCTCACTGAGTCCCTGTCCTGTCGGAGGGGCCACAGGACTCCCTATGTTCTGAGCCTTGCCTTCTCCACATGGCAGAGCCATGCATGTGTCCGACTGGCCAGGGTGTCCCTGTTAACTGGTTTGGTATGTTTCCTTAGGTAGTTTAGGGGTTTTTTTGCAAGTTTTAAATATAAGCAGGTGGAAGGTGGTTGAAACTGCTATGCAGGCAGACACCACAAAGAGACTCCTCTGCAGCTTCTCTTTCCCAGCAGTTGCTGTTGTAGGAGTGGCCTGTTGCAAGGTGGCCCCTGCCGGGCTCCTATTGTGCCCTAGGCATGTCCCTGTCGCCTCTCCTCACAGCCTTGCCAGCTCTGACCCTGTTTGCAAATGAGGACACTGACACCCTTGTCATCGTGTTCCCAGCTCTCCAGTGGTGGAGCCAGCACCACCTCAAGTAGCTCCCTGCTGGTTCAGAATGAAACAAAAGGAATCAAGAATAGACACATGGGGCCAGCAGTTGGCCAGTGTGGGCAGCAGGCAGAGTGGATAGGCCATGGATCTCTGTGTACAGTCAGCTCTGTGGAGGATTGGGTCACTCCTGCCTGCCAAAGCCACCATGGCTTTGGGTCAACAAAAGCTTTGGGAACCAAAGTATGGCCCTAAAATATTTAAACGAAATGTCTGGGAACTTCGGATCCAGTGATTGCGTTTGCTGTGACATAGATGCCTGGAGCCCTTTGCACTCGGCAGGGCCCAGGGCGCTTCCATCGTGCTTGGTCTGCAGTTAGGATGCTGAGGCAGCCCAGGTAACACTTGTCTCGCGCTCTCTCTCCCGTCCCTGTGCATGGTAGGTCTTCCCACCAGGACAGCCAAGCTGGTCCGACGAGACGTACTGTGGCCTCTTCATCTGTCGGATCTGGCAGTTTGGACACTGGGAGGAAGTGACCATAGATGACCGTCTGCCTTGTCTTGCAGGGAGACTCTGCTTCTCCCGGTGCCAGAGAGAGGATGTGTTCTGGCTTCCCTTGCTGGAAAAGGTCTATGCCAAGTACGTGTGCTACATGGAGGTGACAGGGCCATACTGGGCAGCTTCATCTAGGGCTGCCCTGACCCAGGCCCCGCTCCACCTTCACCTGCTCCATCCTGGCGATCAGACAGCCAGTCCCAAGGGCCCAGACACTCACCCTGCCCCCTTTCCCTCCCTCGTTCCACTGTCCAGCCTCAAAGCAGCACCTCCACCAGAGGGGGCGTGCATGTCCTTCCTTTGCTTTCTCTGACCACCAGAAAGACAGTTCTGTGTCTGTGCCTTTAAACCTTTGGGAGAGGTGGCCTGTGCCCAGTTGGGAAGAAATGAGCCACCTGGACTGTACCACTTGCTTGTCCCAGGCCTGCAAGAGGCCACTTCCCTCTTGGGCTGCTTTGCACTCTTTTTCTTTCCTCATTGAGTTTATTGGTACATTTTAGGTATACAGTACAGTTTTGCCTCGCACTCTTGCTGGAGGCTCTGGACTGACACGCACGTGTGCGAATGTGCGGCACGGGGGTGAGGGGCTGACACTTCCCTGCACTGGGTCCACACTGGAGACAGGCAGAAGACAGCAGGGGATGGGAGTGGGTGAGGCTCACTGTGGCTGTGCTTGTGGCACCCTAGGGTCCATGGGTCCTATGAGCACCTGTGGGCAGGGCAGGTGGCCGACGCCCTCGTGGACCTAACCGGTGGCCTGGCAGAAAGGTGGAACCTGAAGGACCTGGCCGGAAGCAGCAGGCAGCAGGACAGGTCTGCGGGTGGGCAGGAGCACAGGACCTGTCGGCAGATGCTGCACCTGAAGGACCGTTGTCTGATTAGCTGCTCGGTGCTCAGCTCCAGAGCAGGTAAGGCCGGGAGAGCCCCACTCTCCCACTTTGGATGCCACTTTCTTGTGACAGAATTGCTCTGGAGGAAGACTGAAGTCTGGCTGAAGTCAGGGTGGTGTGGTAGGGTTGTGACTGTCCCTCACTGTCCCTTCACCGGAGGTGCTGACCTCCGGTCCTTACATCCAGGGAGGCAGGTGTACATTGTGGTCACGGGCATAGGCTCTCATGGGCAGCCTAGCGAGCAGTAACAGGCACCAAGTCTAAGTCTGCTGTATTCACCCGCCTGGCTTGACTGGTGGCTTGGCAGAATCCAAGCCCTTTTTTCATTTTAGTGTCTCTCATTAAAAATGTTTGTTTACCAAAAAAAGGAAGGACAGAAGTCTCCCACTTTGACCTGAGTGCATTTCCTCAGCTCTCTCACAGGAACCGTATCCTTTTTTGTTCGTTAGGGGCCCTGCAGGCAGAGGGGAGACTCACGGCATGTGCTGGCCCCTGCCCCCTAGCTCACACATCACGCCACATGGCACGCAGGGCCCCTGCATCCCTCCTGAGGAGTGTAGGGACTTGCCATTGAGCACAGCTCCCCAGAACTGTCGGTCTAGGGCCACTCCCAGAGTGTGCCAGGGCTGATTCTTGGCCCTTCGTACCCTCAGCCCACTCCCCGCTGAAGTGGCAGGGCTAGGGTGTGGGGGACACCTAGCATGCCTTCTGAGTAAAGCATTGAAGTCACTTCCGGGTTCCTGCCCCTCTGGGCCAACTCCCTGACCAGGCCGGCGCTCAGGTGCCTGCTGGCTGGTATCCACCCATCCGAGGTCTCTGGCCAGGCGGTGCTGTCTCTTGGGCCTCTGTTCCACCTGGCCTTGCTTGAAGGTCTCTCAGTTCTTGGCAGTTGCAGGCACCTGAGTGACAGCAGTGGCCTGTGCCCATCCTACATTAACATGGTGACAGTTGAGGCTGAAAAGCAAGTGACAGCACAGTGCCAGGCCCTGGGCCATGACCCTTCAATGTGGTGAGCAGACCGGCCCACACGGGAACAGGGCTGCCCTGCTCTAGGGACCTGAGGCTTCCTGAGCCCCTGGGTGAGGAGACACTTTGCTCAGCCTGTGCCATGTGGTGCTGTCCTCACACAGGTGCCGGGGTGCTGGGGGAGTTCCACGCTTTCATCGTCTCTGACCTGCAGGAGTTACAGAGCTGGGCAGGCCAGAGCATCCTCCTGCTGCGGATTCTGAACCCCTGGGGACGGCAGTGCTGGCAGGGACTCTGGAGAGAGGGGTAAGAACGAAAGGGCAGGGGATGGGAGGAGGGGCCATTGAGACCCTGTGGGTGCCTGGGCCTCCATGCCCATCTGCCTGTGCTGAGGTCACTTCCGGGTGCCAGGCAGTGCTTGGCCATCCCAGCACTGCTCCCCTCTGGGCCCTGGCAGTCCTGGGAGGTCTGGGACCATGGCTACTCATGGGTCCATAGAATGGTGCGTGCCCTGCCAGGCTTTTGGGTGAGTGTGGACTTAGGGTGGGTGCTGTGGTTGGAACCAGGATCCCTTTGAGGCCAGAAAGCTTCGTGGCTCTTGGATCCCCCAACCCTACTAAGCCCCAGCTCCTCAGCACGGAGGTGAAAGCCGCTCCACATGGGATATCCATACATGATGGTGTGGCAGCTGTGGGAAGGCACTTCAGAGGCACGAATCTTCTCTGGGGAGGGACCGAAGGGCTGGGATGGGGGCAAGGGGCTGGTGGGCATGTGGGCTCTCCAGTCCCCAGGTTTCCTCTGCCAGCTTTTGGGAGAGGCTTCAGGCAGAATGATGTTTCTTCACTTTGAAGGGGCAAAGGGTGGAGCCAGCTAGAGCCAGCTGACAAGGCCAGGCTCCTGTCCCAGCTCCAGGACGGGGAGTTCTGGGTGGAGGAGGAAGAGTTCCTCAGAGAGTTCGATGAGGTCACCATCAGCTTCCCGGTCACAGAGGCTGGCTACCTGCAGAGCCTTTACACAGGTAGGGACGGGCGCGGGCTGCACCTCAGGTCGGGGCTGCTCAGGCAGGGAGGGTGGACTCCCGGAAGTGGCTGTCCAGAGCTCATGTGTGTACCCTTCCTCTAGAGAGGACGCTGTGCCACGCACAGGCGCTGCCTGGTGCCTGGGTCGAGGGGCAGTCAGCAGGAGGCTGCCGGAACAACAGCTGCTTTCCCTCCAACCCCAAGTTCTGGCTGCGGCTGTTGGAACCCAGCGAGGTGTGTGTGGCTGTCCTGCAGAGGCCACAGAGGCACACACAGGGCCGGGCCCGGGCTTTGGTGGGCCACGGTCCTGCCCCAGCTGGCCTCCCAGGCAAGGACTGCCAGGCTGTGGGCCTGCACATCTGGAAGGTAACTGCCCACCGCCCTGCGCCCATCCCCACAGCCTCATGCCCTTCCTCCTTGCTGCCACTGGGCTCAGACTTCTCTAGAGCCCCGCAGAGCCCACCCTGATCCAAGGCCCTCGTTTTCTAGCCTGGTTCCTTGAATGTTGCCCAGCAGCCCAAGACAGGGCCTGCAGGAGGGCCACACACGGGCCCACTGTGTGGCTCCTCCGTGGACCATGCAGATGGAACCACCCCAGGAGAAGACCTGTGGCGGTCACCCCGCCTCTCTCCCCTCTCCATCCCCTGAAGCAGGGACCAGGACACTGGTCTCATGACAGCGTTCTGAGGCTTTTGTTAAGTTGGTCATTGTAAAGGAGGAACAGGTGAGGCATCAGAGAAGCAGGGCTGAGTGCATGGTGGTGGCTGTTTGCTCAGCGGCTGGAGCTACTCTGTATCTTGACAGGTTGTGATAACTCACCTTCTTGTCCCTGGTCCCTTTGGAGTCCTTCCTTCCTGTAGCAGATACTGGAAAGTGCTTTGTTGGGTGATCCCTGGGCTGCCTTGGCCCTGAGCTCAGCCATTCAGAGTTCCATGCCTTGGAGACCAGGGCCAAGGAAGGGGGTTCTGAGCCTCTGCCTGCCCCCCTGCAGGTGGAGAAGCGGCGGGTCAGCCTGCCAAGGGTCCTGTCTGCGCCCCCGGTGGCAGGTACTGTGTGCCACGCTTACGACCGAGAGGTACACCTGCGCTGTGAACTCTCGCCAGGCCACTACCTGGCTGTCCCCAGCACCTTTCTGAAGGACGTGTCTGCGCAGTTCCTGCTGCGGGTCTTTTCTACCGGGAAGGTGTCCCTTAGGTGAGGAGGCAGGGGGGATGCAGAGCAGGGATCTCGATCCAGAATGGGATGTATTTGTGCCAGCACCCTCCTGTGCTTGTCCCATAGCCGTGCTGAGAGACCAGAGGCCCAGGGCACCGACCCCAGGGCAGCCCTGCCCGCCGGCCAGATGGAGACCATGCAGCTGCGGGGTTGCTGGAAAGCCGGCCAAACTGCAGGCGGCAGCAGGAACTTTGCCTCCTACCCCTGCAACCCCTGCCTTCCTTTCTCGGTCCCTGAGGGTGCTGGTCGCCGCTGCGTCCGCATCACCCTGCAGCAGCACTGCCGGCTGGGTGACAGCCAGCTTCACCCCATCGGCTTCCACGTCTTCCAGGCAGGCTCCGCACCAGGCACAGGGAGGCAGGGAGGGAGGGAGTTACCAGGGGTGACGAGGACAGTAATGAGGGCATCTGGGCTGGGACCTGGAGACTTTCTGTAGAGCTGGGAGCTGGGAGGAGACTTGGCGTTGTGCCCAGGCCACCTGGTCTGGGAATTGGTGCGGGAAACCAGGATTGCCTTCTGGCAGAGGCAGCTTGGAGGCTTGTGGAGGAGCTAAGCATGGTGTCGGGGCTGGGGTTACTGCTGAGACGTGCGAGGACTGGGCATCAGGACCACAAGACTCAGGCAGACCGTGCCAGCCTGTTGTGTGCAGGAAAAACAGGCCATGCTGCCCAGTCAACACAGCCCCGCACGCTGACCCGCACTCTCCACAGATTTTAGAGGGTGGTGAGAGCCAGGATGTGCAGTCCCTTCTTCTCCAGGAGCCACTGCTGAGCTGTGTGCCACACTGCTATGCCCAGGAGGTGAGCCGGCTCTGCCTGCTGGCTGCCGGTACCTACAGGGTTGTGCCCTCCACCTACCTGCCAGATGCAGAGGGCACCTTCACAGTGACCATCGCCACCAGAGTGGACAGGTACAGCCTAGGCCTGGGGCAGTCGGTAGGGGCAGGGCCTCAGCCACTCCACACCCCTCCCTCACACAGATCTGGAAGCCTGCCTGTCCTGGCAGAGGCCAGCGGTGGGCACATGTGTCTCAGGGTCCTGGGCCTAGGCGGGTAGCCAGAGCCATAGGGCATCTCCTGTGGCCAGGGCAAGCCCCAGTGACCAGCACTGTCCTCCTCATAGGTGCTCCATCCACAGCCAGGAGGTACTGGGCCACTTTCTCCAGGAGGTACATGTACCACCCACCTGCTTCCCCTGCCTCTTCTGCCCTTCTGCAGCCTGTTGCATGTGGCCTGTGCCTGGCACGTGTGATGCTGTGTTCTCTCCTGTGGCAGCCACGTGGCAAAACCTCCAGGGCTGAGGGGCAGGGCTATCCCCTCCCAGCAGTGTTTGGGAAGGAACATGCGTCGCCCTGAGCTAGGCTCTCCCTCTCCTCCTGCAGGCCTCCATTACGTCAGTGATGAAAACCTAACGGCGCCCTGTGTGCCAGCCAAGGTGGCTGGAGCATCTGTTCTTGGTGCCTGGGCAACTGGTTCTGAGCCTGGCGCGTTGGCCCTGCAGAGCAGCAGGGTGCCAGGGCCAAGTGAGGGCCCTGTCCTGGAGAGGTGTGGCCTGAGTGCGGGCAGATGCTGGAGGAGGACGGGAGACCCACAGGACAGACCACGGGCCTGGTGCTCAACAGGCTTCCAGAGGCTAACAAGGCGGGAACAGATGCTGTTGTAAACTGTTTATTACTTGAAATCTTTCTGACATGTGATTTTATAAATAATCAGGAGCAGTTTACAAGTGGGTCTTGTTCATGAACCCGGGGCTGAACCCACTCCCCAGCAAGGTGGGGAGGGCCACCTGGGCTCCAGGATGGGGTCCTGTGGGGCCTGTCAGACTTTGCAGGGACATAGACCAGTGCTGGACTTGGGTGAGGGGTGTGGTCCTGGCCATCAGGACAGGCTGGTGGGAGGGTGATGAGAAGCCCTCCGGTTTTCCCCTGCCTGTGTCCCTCAGCTGAGGTGCCAGCCATGCTGCCTTGGGGACACTCCTGAGTGGCTGTGCTTAGGATGGGTTGTGCCCTTGTCCTACCCTGTGCCCTGGGTTCACACATCCTCCTGCCCCTGTAAGGGAGGCTAAACTGCGTCCACTCCTGGCGTGCTACAGGTGGTGTGCTGTCCACTCACAGGCGTGGGCTGCGCTGATGGAGCCACACACTGAGCAACCCAGGGCAGGGTCAGAGCCCACCAGGCCCCTCTGGTTAGGAGCACAGGATGGCGCCGGGGCATCCTTCAGGAGGACACATGAGGCCTTGGGCTCTTGGGGCCATGTTTTCTACCCCTAGGACAAAGGTTTGGGCTGGTGGACTGGTTCCCAGAGGGCCTGGGCATGAGGCGACTGGCAGGAAGGTGGGACATGAACGGGTCCTCGTTGTGACCAGGCTGAGTTGCCCTGGGAGGCTGTGTGGGTCCTGTGGCTTTGGGTTAGGGGCCTGTGGCTCACAAACATCTACATGTCCTTCGTGGTGTTCAGCCAGTGTGGAGAGGACCCCATACCTGTCGGACACTGGTCACTTGCTGTGGCCCTTCCTTGAGGACCAGCTCTTCTCCAGCCACGGCTGAGGTGCCACGTTGGCCAGGACTGGGCTCCCTGTTGTCACAGGTGCCCTTACCACCATTGCCTGGCCGGCCAGGGGGTCCTGGCTGCTGGGCCCTGCATTGCTCCTGCTGGCCTCCTACAGCTCGCTGGGTGCCCCTTTGTGTCTCTATCCTTGCCATTGTGACTGACTTCTGGCTTCTTGTGGACAGAAGGTACCACCTCTTCTAGGTCTGGGCTCTCCCACTGCCGACCAACCTGCACGAAGCCAGCACTGACCCAAGGGCTGGCGTGTGACCGGGACCTCTGGGGGGCGTACCTGTAGTTGTTCCCACCCCATGGCCCCTCCTCCCGCCGCCTCAGAGGCAGCTGCAGGCCACTCTGGTCTGTGCATCTGAGCACCACTTCCGGGCCCTGCAGTGCACCCCTGTCTGCTGGGCACCTTCCAGCTCAACCTGGAGCAAATTTAGCCTTTGGCCGGGACGGGTGTACTGGGGCCGGGGCCTACATCACCCACCCAGTGATAAGTCTTTGCCAGCAGGCAGTGAGTAGCCTGGATTGAATATGGTGCTGCTCTTTTCTTGAAACACATGCTAGGTCAGCATTTGGGGCGAGATGTCTGGTCGGGAAGAAGAGGAAGGGGGTCCCCAGCCACCCTGACAGGGGCTCTGGAGAGTACATGACCTGCTGAGAGGGCACGGGCCTGGGGAGCCTAGCCTTTAGGCACCACTCAGCGTGGGAGCCCAGAGGACCAGTGCCAGCCTGCCCCCCAGCCAGCACGGTTCTCACTCCCCCATGCCCCTTGGCAGCGTTTCCTTGCTCAGTGTCCCAGGACAGCCACCGCTGGACCTGGCCTGATGGCTGACCTGAGGGAGCTCCTGCCGAGCCCTCTGGCTCTTGGGAGACGATCAGGTGCCAGCCACAAGCTGTGCTGGATGCCATTTCCCTGCCAGCCTGCATCGGGCTGGAGGTGTAGAGACCTGGGGGTAGTGGCTGGAGGCCATCTAGTTCCCGACCGCCCCACCCAGCCTCAGAGCCCAGGGGTGCTACCCTCCCCAGGCAGTGCCAACAGCCAGGCACCTCCTGGCCTGCAGGGGGCGCACTTGAGCTACAGCCTCCCCAGATCCCTCACCCAGGGCTGTCCCAGCTCTTCCAGTCCATCTGCCCATGTGCAGCAGCTCCCATTCCCATGTTTGCTGGAAGGCTGTTGATTTCCGTGAAGGAGGAAGTAAAACATTTCCTCACTGGGACCCCACTGCTCCCAGCTGCTGTATATACTGGTCGGCTCCTAAGAAGCTAACTGTCCTCAGCCGTGGAGCCTGGGCATCCAAGACCTAGGTGCTGGGGACTCGGTGTCCTGGCTACCTTGTGCTGTGTCCTCATTGGGGGGGGGATGAGGGAGCTCTCTGGGTCCCTTTTAGAAGGACATGAAACCCACCTGAGAGCTCCACTCGTGTGACCAAAGGCCTTACCTCATACCGTCTCCTTGGGGTGAAGTTTCAGTCTGGGGGACACAGACGCTCTGCCCCCAGCAATACCCCACCTTCTATACTTTGGTCCTTCCAATAGCCCACAGGGGCCCCAGTAGCCTGTGCTGCTGCCAGGCCAGCGCTGCCCTGAGAGAAATAAAGCTGCTGTCTCCAAGTCCTCTGCCCTGGCAGACACCTGCGCTCTGCAGAACCCCAGAGGGCAGCCTGGCCTTTCCATGGGATTAGGGCTGTATCCAGGACTGGCCCAGATGGGGCCCCAGTGACAGCAACCCTGCTAAGCATGCCATGTTGGACGCAGAGTCCTCAGGAGCAGGAAGTGACAGGTGGCCAGGCCATTCCAGCTGGGCAGGTCGTCATGTGTGGGATCACCTGCTTCCTGAAGACTTTGGCCGGCTCCACTGCTCCTCCCGGTGCTACTTCCTGCTCTGTGGAGCCATATCCTGCCCAGCCTGGCTGTGCGTCCCCTCTCTATCCTCACTGTCCCTCCATCCTAGGACAAACTCAGCCATAGAGGCGCAGAGCTTCTGGGGTGAGTATCTCCATCCTGTACCCTGAAAGCAGGTGGTCCTGGGAGCCTGGGCAGGGCAGGGAATCATGCGCAGGAGGTGGGACTGGCGGGGTGCCCAGTGGGCCACGCACCCAGGGGTCGTGATTCTCCCGTTTATTATCACTTGCCCAGGGCCCCGTGGGTGCCTCGGATTTTGCTGGGAGGTTCTCCACCTGTTAGTCACAGGGCTCTGTGCAGTGGGCCAGGAAGCTGGCTGCCAGGGAAGGGCAGCTAGCCGGTCCCCATGCCCCAGAGTTCCCAGAGCCAGGCATGTATGCCAGGTGACGTGGACTCGTCCTCACCCTCCAGGCCCAGCAGGACACAGCATGAGACTCTCCAGTCCCCCCATCTCACCGCCTGCCATCCCATCATGGTGAAGACCCTCAGGGTGCGTGTCACCGGTAGCTACGGAGGTGGCCAAGACATCTGCTTCCCTGTGGTGGTATACAGGATAGTCTGCACACAGGTAAGCCTTGAGGATGGATGGGCGCGGGGTGGCCTGTGCCCTGGCAGTCTGGGGCCTTAGCTGGCGGTGATCTCTGTGGCCAAGATGGAGGAAGCAGGGGCATGGGGGTGGGTGGGTGGAGGAGCAGCCAGGGGCTGGGGCACACAGAGACAGCGTCCTGGAACCTGGGGCTCGGGGCTGACAGTGGGAGGCTGACACCCACTTTGCGTGTATTCTGTCTCAGTTTCTCTCAGTAGTATTTATTTCATAGCTGTGAGAATACACACTGCCAATACTTCAGATGGTGTTGTATTTTCAGTTTTACTTTCCAAGTGTTTGTTGCCAGCACACGGAAATGCATGGTTTTGGTTTACCATCTAGTACGCTATAATTTTGCTGAATAGCTTATAGATTCTTTATAGTTTATAGTTTCTTTTGGGTTTTTTTTTTTCTGGTAAATTCTGTAGAATTTTCTACTGCACAATTACATCACAGGTGACAATATTTTTACTTCTCCTTTCCTGGCTGTGTTTTTCCCCTTCTAGCATTAAAATGAGTCTTAAGTTCCTGGGATACTTGATGATACATGATTGGATTTACATATTGCTAGATTTAATTTGTTATAAGGATCTTCATGAGTATGTTGTTTGCTTTGAAAATATTTGGGTATTCTTTAGGTGGCTTATATCTTTTTGTTATTGTTTCTAACTAAGTTATGCTGTGCTAAGACTCATGTGGCCTAGTGTGTCATCTTCTCTGGAGAATGTTTAGTGTTGTCTGGGAAAGATTGTCTCTTTTGCTGTTTTCATTGTGGGGCTCTATGAATCTCAACTGTTAGTGTTGTTGAGTTTAATGTGCCCTTCTTAACTGCTTGTTTTGTGAGTTACTGTAGGGAGTGGGTCACAATAACTCATAACTGTGGGTCTCTCTCCTAGCTCTGTTTACTTCTTTTTTTTTTGGTACTGGGGGTTGAACTCGGGACCTGGCACTTTCAAGGCAGGCAGTGACATCACTGAGCTAAATCCCCAGCCTGTATTTACTTCATTTAAAAAAATCTCTATAATCAAGTACATTTTTCTTAGAATTGTTTGTTATCTTTCTTTTAGGTACTAGGGATCGGACCCAAGGCCTTTGTGCTGAGTTACACCCCACTCCTTTTCATCTTTTATTTTGTGAAAGGGCCTCACTATTAAATTACCTTGCCTGGACTGGAACTTGTGATCTTCCTTCCTTAACCTCTAAATGCTGGGATTACAAGCGTGTTCCACCATGCCCAGCTGAGAACTGGCAGATATCCTAATGAATTGATTCTTCTATCATTGTAAAATATTCCTTTTCTTAAGATTACTGCTTGTATTTGTAACTTTTTTTTTTTTTTTTTTTTTTTTTTTTTGCAGTACTGGAAATTGAACCCAGGACCTCACACCATGCTAGGCCAGTACTCTATATCCCTGAGCTACATCTATTCCCAATTCTTATTTTGAGACAGTCTTGCTAAGTTGTCCAGGCTAAGCTCTAACTTGTGACCCTTCTACGCCAGCCTCCTGAGTCGCTGGGATTATATATCTTTGCCACTATGCCTGGCTCTAATTTTTCCTTGTATTTCAAGTATGTATCAGGTAGATAGCATATTATCATTCCTGACCTTTAAGTCGAACTTGATAATTTTTGTCTTTTTCTTGGATCATTTATATCCATTACATTTAGTGCAATGATTGATGTAATTAGGGTTTATACATACCATCTTGCTGTATTCTATGCATCTCTTGTGTTATTTGTATTCCTCCTTTTTTCCTGTCATCTTTACATTGTTTTATATTTAGTTTATCTTCTCTATTGGCTTATTTACTGTGCCTCTTTGTTTTGTTTTCTTAATGGTTGCTCACTGTGATGGGGAACCTTTTAGAAACCGAGTGTCCATGCTGCAACCCATGGTGGACTCACTTACACAAAGTGCCAGTGCTGCAGTTCAGCCTGAAGACAAGGCTTTAGTTTAGAAAAAATAACTCATCCAGCTCACTATGGCATTGCAAAGAGGACTCTGTGTGCCCACATGGCACACATGCTATAGTGTACCACCACTGCTCCAGGGCTTGTAACGTGCATATCTAACTCCTGCCAGTGGTTAGAGGTGGGGATGGACTCAGGAGTGACATTCAAATCCAGAAGAAAGATTAGGTCTGGGGTGATGAAGTGGTCAGCTTGGGACAGTGAATGCTTCCGCTGCGTCCCAGAGAGGACACCCAGTAGGCAGGGCCCTTCATGGTCCATTGCTCACCCAGAGGCCTGGGCTGGAGCTGACAGTCTGGGGTCATGGGCACAGGGGTTTCTCTGTCACTTCCCCAGCTTTGGGCCACAGAGACAGCGTGGAGGGAGGTGGGGCAGAGGAGAGCAGCCCTGCGTGTAAGGGGAGGCAGTGGGGAGATGCACCCCCAGATCAGGCCCTGCCTCCTAACAGCACAGTCAGCTGGACAGATGGGCCCTGGGAGAAGCACAGTGCCCCTAGGACCAGTCACCTTCCAGGAGCCACACCTCCAAGCCCCTGACGGTTTCCAGCCAGTCTCGACCTCACCCATAAGGGTGGCAGTGGCAGTGGCAGAGTAGCGTCTGCTCGCTGAGTGGTGCTGGGACTAAGCCTATGATCCCAGCATCATAGAGTCCCACAAGGACCACAGCAGGGTGTGGGAAGAGAGGCCAGAGAGGAAAGAGCAAATGTCACAGGGTGACTGTGCGTCAGAGGCCACAGAAGGAAGTGGCCTCTGCGGTGTGAGATCTCAGGGCAAGCTGCAAGTGCCTGTCAAAGGTCACTCCGCCCCTCCCCTTATGGTGGAGAAGCCTTTGTTTATACCCATTCAGCATCTTCTTAAAACACTTATAAACGGAACCACACCGTCAGCTGCCAGGTGCTGGCAGGTGGAAGGAGGGTGTGCACTAGGGTCCTGGGAGAGATGGGCTGGTGGCTGATAATGGTGGGACCCAAAGCTCCACAGGCCCAGCACTGAGGGGCTTTGAGGACAGTGACACTATGAGTGGGGCACTTCAGGGGGCTCCAGAGGGTGAGGTCAGGGGATCAGCTGGTCACTGGCCACAGGTGGGGCCCACATCCTCCTGCAGGGTCCACAGGAAAGGTTCTCATGAGCCCCACGATGGGTGCTCAGGGCAGGGTTTCTAGGCCCCACTGCTCCCAGGGCCCCATACAGACTCCTTCCCCAGGGTGCTCTCAGCTGTGGATCTGCACAGCTGCTCAACCTGGTCTCCGCACCTCGCCGTAGGCTTCCTAGAACTCACCCTGCCCCGGCCATGACCTGAACCGCAGGAGAAGGGCAGGAAGCTGCACATAGCTCAGGGGCCTTGGCAGAAGTAAAAGCAAGGGAGAGAGGGTGGAGGGATGGTGCTGCTGCTTGTGGGGGCGGAATGAAGATGGACAGGGGAGAAGCAGAGGCTGTGAGTGCTGTGAGGGTGTGCAGTTAGGTGAGTGCGGACTCTGTGTGTGTGTGTGTGTGTGTGTGTGTGTGTATACAGGGAGAGGGTCCTGCATGCCTTTGAGTTACTAGAATGAGTAAGCACCAGACAGACAAAAAATATTTCCTGAAGACTCGGGTCTCCCCCACTTATTTCTAAGGCTAAACATGACCTGAACCTGACTCCAGCCTGGCCCTCTCTCCAACCTCAGAGGCACATGCAGAGATTCCTCTCCCTGCCCGTTCCCTGCCTGCACCTCCATTCTGCAGACCCATTGTGGCAGCCTGGGCCAGTCCTTCCAATTCTGTCCTCTGGACTTCCCTGGGCCTTGAGTGTGGCACTCCGGGGCCCTGTTCCCACCTGGGCAGCGTGGGGCTGGAACTGGTTGCAGAGACTGGCACCACCTGAGCTGGTGGAGGTGCCTGGGCTCCTGGTGCTGAGGAGCCCTCTGCCCCAGGTCCCTCTGACCCTCTGTAGAGTGGGCACCATCTCCCAGGCATTGGTAGCTCCTGGCTCAGCTGGGGCCTCCTGGGGTTGGGCCAGGTAGAAGCAAGCTGGCCAGAGCTGCCTTTCCCCCGAGGGGACCATGTGTGTGCACCTTGCACTCATGCAATGCATGTGCTGAGGAATACTGTATCATATACATGCATGCATGTGTATGTGTATAGGTGTATGCATGTATGTCTGCATATGGGTCTGTGTGTGCAAATGTATATAGGCGTGTGGTGTGTACACACACAAGAATAGTACGTGTGTACCTGTGCACAGTGTGTGCGTATGTACATGTGTCTGCATGTATCTGCTTACATGATGCAGCTGTGTGTGCGTGTGTACATGTACTACACATATATGGGTTCATGTGTTTCTGGATCCACATGTGTATGTGTATGCATGTCACCAGTGTGCTTGTACCTGTGTACAAGTGAAGGAGGCACATTCACCTGCCACACCAGACCAGTCAGGCCAAGTGCCATCTTCCAGCCAGTACCTGCCGAGGCCAGCTTCCAGGCCCTGGTGCCGGTCCCTCCTAGACACTGTCTGCCAGGGCCCCTCGAGGCCATTGTCAGCACTGCCACGGGTCGGGAACGAGTCAGCTGCTTCCCACTTCTACTGTGGTGTGTAGCAGGGTATGTGGCCACCTTTGCTTTTACTTTAGAAATTTCAGATGCATGCAAACAGAGTGTAAGGAATCCCATGAGTCCACTGGCCATCCACGGCAGAGACTGTAAGGTCCAGTGTTACTTCCTGCCCTCCACCGACTTGCCCACATGTTCTGAAACAACTGCCAGGCATCATGTCATTGCAGCCACAGAACAGTGGTATGAACAAGGTGATTTACAGACTTAAATGCACAGCCACTGCTACTTCCCTTTATCCAAGAGACCTGCCCGAAGCTGCCTTGCAGCAGGGGAGAGATTGGGCTCCACTCCCATCTTACATTAAAAAACAATTTCCTTGACTGAACTGGGCCGGAAGCGCAATTCCAGGCCAGGACCCTGTGAGTGATCTTAAGCTGGACTACAGGTGGTGGAGCCCACACCACCGCTGACTAAGGCCTT